ACGAACACAGTTCCCTGATTATACTATTATAAGAGTTAGATTTGACAACGATGTTGAATTCACATCTCAAGCATTAAATGATTATTGTATGGTAACGGAAATTGAAGTTGAACATTATGTGGCTCATGTTACACCCAAAACGGTTTGGCTGAATCTTTAATTAAGCGTCTGCAATTGATTGCAGGACCACTGATCATGAGATCAAAACTACCAACCTCTGTGTGGAGACATGTCATTTTGCATGCAGAACCACTCATTCGGATCAGACCAAGTGCATACCAAAAGTATTCCCCACTACAATTAGCTTTTGGTCGAGAACCGAACATTTCCCATTTAAGAATTTTTGGTTGTGCGGTATATGTGTATGTAGCACCACCACAACGTACAAAAATGGGACCACAAAGAAGATTAGGAATATACGTTGGATGTGATTCTCCATCAATTATACGATACCTAAAACCACAAACTAGTGACGTTTTTACGGCAGGTTTTGCCGACTGTCATTTTGATGAGAAAGTATTTTCGGTTCTAGGGAGAGAAAACAAAGATATAGGAAATGATATCAAATGGAGTGTACCATCATTATTATATCTTGATCCTCCTACTAAAGAGTCAGAACTAGAAGTTCGATGAATTATGCATCTACAGAGTATAGCGAATCAGCTACCTGATGCATTTGCGGATACCAAAACGGTAACTAAGTCTCATATACCAGTTGCAAACGCTCCTACTTGTATCAAAATATTAAATGATCAAGGAAAAGCAAATGATACACGTGAGTCTAAAACACGCTTGAAGCGTGGTAAACCTGTTGGTTCTAAGAATAATAATCCTAGAAAACAAAAAGGTATCGAAATAGATGACACACCCAAAATAGTAGAAAGTATTTTGGAAGAAACAAACAATGAGAATACTGAAAGTAGAGCATCATGAGTCAGAAAGGAACCATGAGATTTCCATCTACTACATCCATAATAAGAAGATATGGAATAGAGAAATGAACAGGATGATATTTATGATGCCTACTCATATAATGTGTCAAGTGAAATAAATGAGGAAATTGAAGATCCAAAACCAAAATGTGTTTATGAATGTCAAAAGAGACATGATTGGAAACAATGGAAAGATGCAATACAAACCGAACTTGTTATTCACTTAATAAAGGAGAAGTATTTGGATCTATTGCACTCACACCTGCAGATGTGAAACCAGTTGGATACAAATGGGTTTTCGTTCAAAAGCGAAATGAGAAAAATGAGATCACGAGATACAAAGCCATCTTGTCGCCCAAGGTTTTCTCAAAGACCTGAAATTAACTATAAGGAAACATATTCTCCCGCTATGGATGCAATCACTTTTAGATTCTTTATGAGTCTAACAGCTGATAAAAATCTTGAAATGCGCCTTATGGATGTTGTTACAGCCTACCTGTATGGATCATTAGATACTGATATCTATATGAAAATTCCTGACGGATTTAAGATGCCAAAAGAATAAAGTTCCAAACCAAAAGAATTATGTGCAATAAAATTGCAAATATGATTATATGGGTTAAAGCAATCTGGACGAATGTGATATAATCGTCTCAGTGAACATTAAACAAAAGAAGAATATGTGAATGATCCAATATGCCCATGTGTTTTCATCAAGAAAACAACTTCCGGATTTGTGATAATAGCGGTATATATTGATGATCTTAATATTATTGGAACTCAGAAGGAAATACAAAAGGCATCAGAATATCTGAAAGGAGAATTTGAGATGAAAGATCTTGGACAGACAAAGTATTGTCTTGGCCTACAAACCAAGCATTATCAAAGTGGTATATTTTTGCATCAATCCACATATACTAAAAGAGTATTGAAACGCTTTAACTTGGATAAATCAACTGTTCTTAGCATTCCGATGGTTGTTAGATCACTTAATGTTGAAAATGATCCATTTCGACCATCTGCGGAAAATGAAGAGATACTTGGTCCTGAAGTACCATATCTAAGTGCAATTGGAGCACTGATGTACCTTGCAATTTGTACACGGCCTGATATATCATTTGTTGTCAATCTTTTGGCAAGATTCAGCTCATCTCCCACACGAAGACATTGGAATGGAATTAAACATGTCTTTCGTTACCTTCAAGGGACCATCGATTTAGGCTTGTTTTATCATAAAAATTCAAAAGGTCAAATGGTTGGTTTTGCAGATGCAGGATATCTTTCGGATCCACACAAAGCCCGATCGCAAAAAAGATACGTTTTCATGATAGGAGGCACTGCTATATCTTGGCGTTCTCAGAAACAAACACTCGTGGCTACCTCTTCAAATCATGCTGAGATCATCGCACTCCACGAAGCAAGTAGAGAATGTGTATGGCTAAGATCAATAAGCCGACACATATGTTCAAGCAGTGGGATTGACGAAAACTTGGAGCCAACTATTCTATATGAAAATAACACGGCATGTGTTGCTCAAACGAAGGAAGGATATATCAAAAGCGATAGAAACAAACACGTACCTCCGAAGTTCTTCTCATACACTCAAGAGCTCGAGAAAAATAAAGAAATCGAAGTAAGATATGTTCGATCATGCGAGAAAGATGCTGACCTCTTCACAAAATCACTCCCTACCTCGGTATTCAGAAAACATGTCTATAACATTGGAATGCGTCACCAGAAGGATTTGTGACTGCTCATTCGAGGGAGAGCTTACGTGGTTGTACTCTTTTTACCTTACTATGGTTTTTCCAATTAGGTTTTTCAAGAAAGGTTTTTAACGAGTCAACAAAAGGTTAAGCAAGAAACGATAGTGACACTGGTCTCCAAGGGGGAGTGTTATAAACGTGATAAAATGAAGAAGAAGCAACGTCAATATTAGCTGCACCGAAACATTGACGTTGTGTATGCATATAATTAATATGTGGAATCCATGTCACTATGCATACACAGTAATTTTATCTTTTTACTCTATATAAATGAACGAATTCGTTCAATTGTAACTCGTACCTTAATTCTTCTCTTCCCCCCCCCCCTCTTGTATAAGATTTCTCTCAGTAATAGTTTATCTTATATAAGTATTATTTCCTTCCTGCGGATATAAATTTCGCCCTTATTCAAAATTCAAAATACTATAAAATTATAAGTTATTTAATAACAAAAACTATATTCATTTTGTCAATGAAAACATTCCTATTCACAAAGTCACACACACGAGCCATCAAGATCACAGACACTTGGCTTCAAATCCTGAGAAAGATGGCAGCAGAAAACAACAACAAAAGAAGCTTCCTTTTATTGCATTTCTTGAAATTTTATCGCTAGAAAGATGTATGTATACAAAGAAGAAGAACACGAACTAGTTTAACTGATAACAATACAAAAACATCTATCTTATGTTCCACGCACGCTCGCTATTGATCCCAATAGTTTCTCAGCTGCGACATGTGAAGTAGAAGCTCGTCTCTGCCCAAACCAGACACACTACTCGTCATAATCCAAGGAGGGTGTTGTTTAAAATTCTCTCTAATGATCTGTTGAAAAGCTTTAATGTTCTCATCAGGTCTCTTCCCTTTCGCCGCTTTCATTTTATCACACTTAGTAAACACAAAAGTCATCGGTACCTGATCATCATCACCAAATACAAACAATCATGAGAAACTCCTCAAGAAAAAAAAACACATACATACATACTAAGAATATGTAACATACATTGTTGCGACCGAGCCAATTCGCACAATCAAGATCAATCTTCTGCGGAGGAACACTTGCATCAATCAGAAGAAGCACACAAACAAGTGTGTCTCTATTCAAGAAGTAACCTTTAGTAAACGCAGACCAATCCGTCTTCGCAGCATCTGACACTTTAGCAAATCTGAACAAATGGTTTCATATTAATAGTAATATAAAGTAAAATCATAAAAAACAAATACCATAGCTTATATACATACCCATAACCAGGCAAATCCACAATGTACCAACTCTTATTCACCAAGAAGTGATTGATAAGCTGAGTCTTTCCTGTTATTATTTCCCAAATTAAAAAATAAATAAAATAAAAATCAAGAATCAAGATAAAAATTGAGTCTTGAATCAAGAATCAAGAATCAAGAATCAAGAATCAAGAATCAAGAATCAAGAATCAAGAATCAAGAATCAAGAACCAAGAATCAAGAAGCAGACCAGGTTTCTTGGATGTGAGAGCGACTTCCTTCTTACGGACCAAACAGTTGATAAGTGACGATTTTCCGACATTGGAACGACCCAAGATGGCGATCTCGGGAAGGTCGTCTTTAGGACAGTCACGAGCACGAGCACTGCTCTTGACGAACTCGACTTGTTTGATTTGGGAGTGACCCGCGAAAGGTCCGATGACGATGTTGGAGCCCGGAAGCACCATATCATCTTTTAACTCCTCGATTTCGACGCCGGGAGGTATGAAGAGGACGGAGCGAGCGAATCTAGCTTCGTCGGAGATGGAACGGCTCGTGGGGAGAGAGGAGGAAGATGTGATTCGTGGGGTGGAGATGATGAGATTGGGAGTACGGAAGAATCGGGTTGTGTGGAGTTTGTGTGATTGGAAGTGTGAGGGTCGTAAAGGAGCGAGATTTATCGTTAAGAATCGACATCGGAGTATAACCATTTTCTTTTTTTTGGGTTGCAGAGAGGTTTGTGTTTGGTAGGAGATAGGGTTTTTGAGTTTTAAGACCAGAGATTGGTCCTGCTGTCTCAGCTAGAGGGTTTCATTTCTTTTTCGTATTCCTTTTTTTGGTCAAGGGAAAATGTTTTCCTTTGTTAAAAAAAAAAAGGAAATTTGACAAAAAGTTAAAGAAAACTTACATATAAATGTTGCACATATATCTCTCACGAAACAAACTAATTATTTGATTACTATTGGACCTAATGTAATCAAATCAACTAGTTTTGTGCTATTTTGGAATCCGAAAAAATAGGGTATAAAAACTCCAACGCCATTGTACTATTATTAAAATACCAATATTTTGGAAATTTTTCACAACTTGAATATGAGAGTTTTCAAAACATCTAATAAATATATAATTCTTAATTTTTAATCATGTTGTAATAATTACATGATGTTTTTATACATTCTAATTTTAACGGTGACATATGTTTTAGTGAGGACTGAGGACATCAATTTGCATTGTTCAATTAATCATACAAGCAACATGTTGTTTGGATCAAAATAACTCCATGAACTGACTGACCATGACTTGTGGATACATTGGTGACACACTTGTTGTCCATGTGGAACCTTTTACCGCACTATGCAGACCTCTACTCCTATTAATTCTGGACTTTGATGTTATCAGGTGGCTGTCTCTTCCTTTGTGGCAGGTTGAAGAATTAGTCCTCGAGATGTCCACTCAGCGGTTAAGTATTGTAATTCTCTCAACATTTTTCTTTGTGGAACATGTTTTTTTCCTTTACTATCCACTTCTGTTTAGTGGTTGAGTTGCAGGAAGTATTGTCTTGAAGCTTACAAACACTTTGTTGTCTCGTCTTCGTAAAGGCTTAGTAAATTAGTGCCATGTCGCCAATACATTAACAGCCGTTTTACTGATTGTTCACTCAACAGCTGTTGTTATTTTAATCCCGGGTTATAGATCACTCAGTGTGCTATTTAAATCTCACTCCAGCATTTCAAGCCTTGCAATTTTGACGTCGGGGTTAGAGGACTCCTCTACGACTTTAGTTACTTAGGTGTAATAATTGCTTCTATCCTTTGTATGTTTGTTCTCCGCTCTGTTATAACGGTTTGTTTAGCCGTTTTGGCCTTGTTGTTATCTATTTTGAACAATTACTCCATGGATGGAGTGTAGTGATTTATAAAAATTATGTTTGTCCAAAAAAAAAGATTGCGTAGGTAGTAGAGCTATATAACAATTAATCACAGCCATAAAAATTTCTTGATGATCTATTAGAAAGATACTAATTAAGGATGACACACAAATCACAAACGTGTATTAGCAATACTTTGTTAAATATAATTAAAGTAAATATCAAAGATTCTTCTTCTGTTTCTGGGTATAGATGTAATCAACATGAGCAACCAAAGACCTCCTCATTAAGCAATCTTCGTCGTCAGCACCACAGTTCTCTTCTGCCACATCATCAAGCTTTCCTTCTATGCTCTTGTCCTGAATCATACATTAGAACATATCAAACTACATGTACAGAAGTTTATATTTGATATGTTTTTCGCTAATATTTCAAGCTCTGACATATACAATTTTAATATGATTACTACATGCACATATATATATATATGTGGAATTGGACTCATGGAATGTGACTAACCAGTGGGTCAGCTGTAACAATTGTGATAGAGGCCGAAAAGGTTGGGTCGGGACGGGCGGTGCACATCAGCGTTGAGCAAAGGAGGAGAGTTATCGTGAGAAAAGCAGAGAAGTTTGCCATTTTTATGATGTTTTCTTCAGTGGAGAATTATATGTAAAGGAGATAATTTGATGACGGGTTGGTTTGCTTACAACTTGATATTTATAGCAAAATTAGTCAAATCTATTTTTGTTTTTTATCATTTAATTATTTTTTTATAAACCGAGGATGGGGTATTAACGCACGTTGATAACCTCGAATGTTTGGTTAATAAACAAAAAGAGAGAGTCTAATTATGGAGTTTTGGTTGACTCATTTGACCGATAAGATTGAAAGTGGAAGAAGATAATATTCTTTCACACTTGCGCGTAGTGTTAGTGGTGGAACAAGACCAAACCCCATAAGAAGAAGAAAAGAATATATAGTCGGCGTGTATGAAACGTGGGATGGTAGAGTGATAATCATCCACTTATTAAAGGCATATCTATCTATTTTCTTTTTAATTATGAACAAACAATCTTACGACTAAACTCAAAAGCGTGTTATATGAACAAAAACAATCTATCCCCCACCACACGTTTGGCGCGTTGGTGATATCATCCTTATAGGAACGCACCAAACTCAAAAGCGTGTTATATAAATATTAAATACTATTAAGACTTTGAGAGTGTAGATCGGTGCGTGACTTATCATATATATCCAAACTACGATTGCTAGATCTCTAATATATTGTTTCAGTATTATGGTTTAATCGTGGAGAGTGATGATGACAATATGAATGCGGTTGAAGTAAGCTTTGGTAACTTTGGGACAAAGCTAAAGACCCCAAGATACAAAATCACTAGGTGATACACGCGCATGCGCGGACAATTTTTTATATTAATGCTTGTTCGATTTTAACATTTTGTAATACTACAATCTTTATCGATTCTAAAATAACAAATACAAATGTTGATCTCTTAAATATATCATATGTCTGGACATTCGGGGATCTGTCGGTTTTGGTTTGATTGATTCGGATTTTCAAATTTTTAGTATTATGCTTTTCAGACTCATTCAGGTTAGGGCTGGGTTGCGGGTCAAACCCGCCCAGCTGACCCGCCAACCCGCGGATTTTAGTTATTTTTTTTCTTAAAAAATCCGACCCGCACAACCCGCGACCGTAGAAATTTTCACCCGCACCCGCCCCGCTTAATTTTGCGGGTAACCCGCGGGGGTTATATATCTTTAAAAAAAATAATTATTTAATTTACTTTTTATGAAAAAGTAATAAAAATAATATATTTATAACAAAATTATATATATTCAAATTTTTTAATTATTTTAAAAAAAATACCGTAATTTTTTAAAAATATATTTATTTTTCCAAAAAAAATATTATTTTCTAACAAAAATACACAATTTAAAAAAAAATGAAAAAAAAAATTTGCGGGTTGGCGGGTACCCGCGATTAAAAATTCACCAACCCGCACCTGCCCTGTATAAAATACTCAAAACCCGCACCCGCACCCGCCAATCGATTTTTTCAAGTTGTTCAATCCGCACCCGCCGCGGGTGATCACTCATATTCCCAGCTCTAATTCAGGCTCTACTAAATATCGGATTGGTTTCAGTTCAGTTCCTTCCAGATTTGATTTGGATGGGATTGTAACCAAAATCTGAAATCGTTCCAAAAAATATTTTTGAAACCTCAGAATTGACAAAAAAAAATTGTCAAAATATTTAAATTATTCGTAAATATAATTTAAAATTTTTTAAATTTTCTAACTAACTAAATGATATTCAAAATAAAAAATAAAAATAAACAAACTACAAAAATCTTTCAAATACAATAAAATATATAAATTACCTTGATATATAAAAGTATATTAACATATTATATTAATTTCAGATATCTTCGGATTTAGTTCGGATTTTGGTTCGTTCAGATTATAAACAAATCCCAAAGTGCTAAGATCATAAGCCTTGTTCGGATAAATTATAATAGCTACATTGGATATTATGGAGAAATAAATATTAGACGAATGGTTAAATCTCTCAATCTTCGAACAAAATCAAAAGGAGGTGATTGGACTTTTCATGCCATTAAAAACTTTTTTGGAATAAATATTAAGACTAAATTATTTAATTTGAATGAAATATTATAGTATATATATATAGTGCTTCTAGTATTAAAAATTACTTCGATTTTAAGAGGTGTAATTCACGGATTGTCAGGATCAAATAACATATTAAAAACTATCAATTTATAAATTAATTTGTATACGTAAAAGTATATACATTAGAATAAGCACATAAATCAAAACTAATATCTTTTGGTAATTTATAATCATGTTTTGGTAATTAAATAAAAACAACCATTTAGTTTTCTTTATATTGCATATAATTAATAATCATCAATTGTCATATATATGTTAAGCATATTAGGTAATTCCGTAGCTTTTATTTAAGGAAAGAAAAAATATTTTTTTTTGTATACTAATAATTATTTTGATAGTTAATTTAATAAAAAATCTAATATAGAATTATACGGACCAAATTATTTTTATAAGAATTTTGAGAATTATCCCGATGATGACACGTGGCTACGGAAACATGTTGTAATATTGTAGAATTAATATATACGGTATTTCTATATTTTTATAACAAAAAATAAAACAATTGTTCACAAAATTTTCATTGTAAGACTTTTAATAGTTTTAGTAATTTATAGCTGTTTTTTAAAAAATATATATATAACATATAAGAAAAAAAAATTTTATTATATGGTTAATGTGATTGTTTATTTTTTTTTAGTAATATAAATCAAACAAAAGTTATGGAGGATACAAACTATTATCAAATCTTTATTGTTTAAAATCATTAATTATCATATATATGTTAATCATATTAGGTCATTCTGTAGCTTTTACTTAAGGAAAGAATGAAAAATATTCTTTATTCACTACAAATTATTTTGATAGTTAATTTAATAAAAAATATACTTTATATTTAGATGGACCAACATACTTTTCACTACAAGAAAACTAAGCATTTATTAGGAAATTTTTACTAGGAAAAATCTTCCTCGTAAAGTTACTAAGCATTTACTAGGATCTTACGAGGAAAGCAAATTTCCTCGTAAGATCCTCGAAAACTTACGAGAAAATATTTTCCTCGTAAGACCTTAGTAAATTTACGAGGAAAAAGTACTTTCCTCGTAAAGCCGTAGTAAAGACTTTCCTCGTAAAGGCATAGTAAAATATTACTACGAAATTAGGAGGAAACAGTTTGTTACTACAAAATTAGGAGGAAATGGATAGGAAATATCGAATTTAAATAAAACACGTGTTTTGTACCTACTTTTCCTAGCAATTTCCTAGTAAATGCTCAGATTCGAAAATTTCTATAAATACCACCTTATGTGATTCATTTGAAACACACCAAAAAAAAATCAGCTATAAGCTTGATCAAACACAAAAAAATGTCCGGTCCGGGAAATATTTTCGAGTTGCGGCAGTGGATGTATTTACACAGGGATAATAACGGGAGGGTGACGAACGAATTTCTGGAAGGGTTGGAGACGTTCATGCATCAAGCAGATTCTACACCACTCACGCAGGAAAGTGGTACGATGTTCTGTCCTTGTCGGAAATGCTGCAATAGCAAATTAGGCCCTCGTGAAAATGTTTGGAAGTATTTAATAAATAGAGGTTTCATGCCATATTATTATATTTGGTATCAACATGGAGAAGATGCTAGTTGTAGGAATGAAGGTAGCAGTAGTAATCAGGTTGAACCGGTTGATCATTTGCGTAATGAAGGTAGCAGTAGTTATAGCTATGATCATCACCAAGAGGAACAAATGGTAGATTGTGATAGGGTTCATGATATGGT